AAAAAAGTTCTTAGTGTAGGGAAATATAATGATAATAAATAGAAAAAATCAATCTAAATAACATTATAGGTTGGTATTTATCAATTTCTTACGTTTTCAGTTATAAAAATGGCAGTAAATTCATTAAATATTGGTTGGATAACTTTTTTTTTATGAATCAGCCCTTTTTTCTCACTACTTTTGTCAATTTGCTCGAAAAAATAAAAAAAAAAGATTTTTTTCAAAAACTGTCCTTTGACGACTCCTACTGGTGAACCAATGCGAGTTACAAAAAAAAACTCAAAAGCAATTTTAAAGAGCGTGAAATTCCCCATAAGGTGTATTAAACCGATTTGCAATATTGTCAAAGGTGGGTAAGCATTAGAAATTTGAAAAAAAAAACATTTTTTTTACATGCATTTTAAATGGGAAAACTTTAAATTTAAACTGCAAGTACTTAAAATTGATATTAAGAGCTCTACCTTGGTGAAATTTTTTTTTTCTATAGGTAGATTAATATTTTGCTTGAGCACCGAAAAAAAACAAAAACTTTGCGGAAATGAATCACCCTAATGTATACCGTACCTTCATTTGCAAGCTATACATAGGGAAAATACATTGTAGGTGGAACAGACAAGTCGAAGTCAGCGCGAAACGAAAATGTTCCCAAAAATTATTTTGACGAGTGGATGAGTAGACTAACATGCGACGTAACAGGTGACCTTGTTTACTGCCGATTAAAATTTTATTAGGAGAACTTTTTCGCTTTGCGCTGACTTCGACTTATCTGGTCCACCTACAATGTATTTTCCCTATGTATAGCTTGCAAATGAAGGTACGGTATATAAATGATATTATTAAAAAAATATTTAGTTTTGTTTATCCATTTGATAGATAAGGGTATATAGAAGATTATGTATTTAATTTTTACATTAAAAAATTACAATCACGTTCTCTCTATACTCTCTAAAAATGAAATAGTCAAAATTCAACTATTTGAATTAGTACCAGCATTTTTTACTAATAAAATAGTCGTTTTCACTTTTAAATAGTTATTCTTTACATCTTTGACTATTTCTGAGAGTTAAAAGTAACTAATTTCTTTAATCGTTTGCGGCCAACAACAAAGTATTATTTGAATTAAATGCATATACCTAAGCTCCATTGTTAAATGACCCATAAAAACAAAAAAGATGCAAAAAGTTTAGCTCAAAACAGCAACACAAATAATATATTCAACTTTAAAATTTTATGAACAATATTTATTGACAAATAAAATTGATTTTTATAAGAGCGGTTGACAGCCGAATGGCTTATGACAACCGCTTGACAAGCTTGACAAGTGACTGACCTGAGTTCAATCCCCCGCTGGGTCAAAACTTTTTTTAATTTAAATATACTAATTTGACTATTTCATTCAGTAGAATTTGACTAATTATTAGTGACTACTTTTTCGCTATGACAGTTAGTCAAATATGACTTATAATTAGTTATTTTTGACTAATTCATTTTAAGAGAGTAGATTGCCTTAAGTGGGTTTTATTCGTACAACAGTATTTCAAATATTGAGGAGGGTGGAAACAAATTTTATTATAAAGATTCTGGTTCTAGAAGAACATAATAAGTTACTGTACCAGTCGGATCGTATGAAATTGCTGATATTGAAAACTATTTAAAAAAGAAAATAATACCGCAAACCATCATCAGCATAGATCAACAACATAAATATATTTCCATTAAACCAAACAAGAATACATTAAAGTGTGAAATACAAAGTAATAGGTTGGAGGTGGATTTCACACCTGCAGACAGTATTGCTAGAATATTGGGGTATTCCAAAAAAGTTTTACCGCCCAAAAAAGTACACGAATCCGATCTTACTGTGAATATAGTAAAAGGAAGAACGATTCATATTGATTGCCACATAACCACCGGAGCTTTTTATAATCAAACACCCTCGCATACAATTTATGAATTTTCATTGGACGTCGATCCGGGTTTTGCTATAAACGAGATTCCCAAAAATCTTATGTATCTACCGATTATAAATAAACGTGAAATTGCAAATATCACCTTGAATATATTAGACCAAAATTTTTGTCCTGGAGATTTTCGAAACGAGTAAGTAATTGTACGTTTGGTATTAAAAAAAAATAATATAATGGGGTTAACATTTGATTACTATAATAATAATTATACCTATAAAAACCCGATAAACGATTCCAAACCTCCAGTTTTTAAGAGACGGTGCTCGAGAACAAGTCGTAGACGCCATCACCAGCAGCAGCAACACAAATCATTAACCCTATCAAATCGTTTGTTTTTACAATCCTTGGGGTATGATGTCATCATCAAAAATGTTTGATATCTATCGAAAACCATAATTTGACGAAACACTGCAAAAAATTGAATCTCGTACATATTATCCGTTTGTTAAATCTTTTAATAATAACGATGTTGTCGAAATAACAATTATCAAGGTGATTCATGGCTAACAATGTACGATGCAGCCATATTTATCGAGGGGAAATTAACTAAAACGACTGGGGCAGGAAAAGTGAAGTTTGTTAACAACGCAGGAGCCTTTCTGTTTGATATGATTTCATATGATCTTAATGGCAAAGAAATTGATAGTGTGCGTGATCCAGGTATTGTAAGCACAATAAAAGGATTTTTATGCTATAGTACAAACGATACAAACATATGGATAAAGCAGGATGGAATTATCCGAATCAACCTATTATCGCACCTAACGGTTCGCATACCTTTACATCATTTATTGGGAATTTTTAATGATTATCAACTAGCACAATTTGGCAAACAAACTTTACTACTCGTAAGAGCACGTAGCGATGACGATTCTATAATGATTAAAGAAGTTGCTGCCCCGCAAACAGCGACTAAAGCAAAATTAAAAATTGAAAATATATCATTAAAGGTTAAAGTGGTTTTCCCTAACGACATTCTTAAAATAAAACTGTTAGAATCGATAAAAGCTGAAAAACCGATAATTATTCCTTTCCGAAAATGAGAATATCACGAATTACCGCATATAAATTTAGTATTAGTCTGATCAAAATGTCCTACATAGCACCAACAAGAATCGAAATACAAGAAGCTTAAAATACAATTAATATATACTTCGAAACACTCCTCAACGCCAGGTGATAATACAACATCATCTTAGAGTTCAGATAATTGCTCTATGAATTGTGTTGAATGTAGTTGTAAGTGTAAAAATATTGATAAACTGTTAGATTGTTTTCAAGAAGTTGTAATAAATCTAAAAAAAATTCTTAAATACCGTTTACTTTTATTTATTAACTTTAGTATACAAAATGCACTTTATTCAGCAACATCAGTCGCTACCTATACAAAACTTGGATTTTTTCAATGAAAATCAAAGTACACAGCAACGGAAGTATGGTAGTTTGTTACCAAGATCATTTCAAGCAATTTTTTGTGGTCCCAGTGGGTGTGGAAAAACAAATTATTAAGTTTAATATTTAATCCCAACGGTCTTTTCAAAATATTTATGTTTATTCGAAATCTCTTTATCAGTCCAAATATCAAGAATCTGTTTTTAAAAAAGTTAAAGGAATAAAATATTTTCCCTATGGGAATAATGATGACATAATTGAACCGAATCAGGCATTAAAAAACTCAATTTTTATTTTTGATGATGTTGCATGTGATAAACAAAATAAAATTCGAGAATATTTTAGTATGTGTAGGCACAAATCTATAGATGCTACATATTTGTGTCAAACTTATTCAAAATACCCAAACAATTGATAAGGGATAATTGTAACATTATTGTGTTATTTAAACAAGTTGAAATAAATTTAAAGCATATATTCTTAAGCATGTTTCACCTTATATATCTTTTGATCGTTTAAAAGATATATGCTTGAAATGTTGGCAAAAAAATTTCGGGTGTTTTGTTATTGTAAAAGACTGATATAAATAATGGCCGATATCGTATGGGGTTTTATAAGTATATATGATAAAACTGTGATGTGATATCACTAGGGACCAATAATGCCAAAATGTGTTTTAAAAGATTTTCTTTTATATGAACCTAACTTGTTTTCACCTTTTTTACCTTTTTTAGAGGTTTTTGCTTTAAACTACCTTTTTATACTTTTGTTACATATTTTTTAATTTGTCAGTTTATTTTCACCTATTTGTTACATATTTTTACGTATTTTTACTTATTTAATTTTTTTGTGTTCTTTTTAAATTTTGCGCCAATATTTTATCCAGGGCGTGCAACTCAACGGTATAGAATTTTTTCTTATGGTCACAGACTGTAACAGTAATTTTCTTTACAGTTACCTTCTTTGTAGTGAGCTTATGTTCTGTCATAGAATTTCTGTATAGTGAGTGTCACTCAGTGAAACACAGTTTATTGCATATAAATAGTTTATTGTGGGTATGTTCTGTGTTTGCGGCTAAACAAAATTATAAACGAAACTTGAATTTTTTATGTTTTTTTACCTAAAATGCTGTTTTTAACCTAAAATGCTTTTTTTAGTACCTTTTTAGTTACCTATTTTTCAGTTTTTAGTACCTTAAAGAGAAATAATAAAACCAATTAACCTTTAAGATAAATAATTTAAAATTTACCGCGATACGCGCAAGGCATCTCGACCTACGGCGACCTTGCGCGGAACAAGTACGCCACTTGGTTGGTTTCGCCGGTGAAGCGTTTGCCGGTTGTTGTCTATTCTAAGGTATTAAACAAAACGCTTTCTGTTGAGGCTTTGCCGTAACTGCAGGTGAGTTGCAATGTATTAATTAATTGATATAGTCTGGCTACCCAGTATTTTCATTGTTGATATTTATTTGTTGAATTGGCCACGTGTGGGTGCTAACCTCAATTATTTTTGTAGTTTTTGTAAAGAAAAATCTTCTTATTCAATAAATCGTGCTTTGGAAAACCGATCGACTGTTATTTCACCACATCTTGGCTCCCAACGTGGGGCCGTTCCAATTCCAGTACAGAATTCGAACCAATTATGACAGAAAGGACACCGAGGTACCAAACCAGAAGCAAATCAAAGACAGGCGCTAACCAACAGCCCGACGACAATTTGTTGGGGGCAGCTGCACTCTCAGCGAATACAGGGGCAGTCAGAAAGAATTTTGGAGCAGATAAGAATTTTGAATCGGATACCGATGACTTAACACCACAAAATGATAAGATAAGTAACTCCTCTAATTCTCCACCACCCACTGCAATGCTTGTTCGTAAAAGAGCGCTTGCAGAGACTTTTAGAGACGAGCACAATGTAAACCTGAGCTTGGCTGAACTTCCAAGCTTGTACGAAAAGCATGGCTTGTACGAAAAGCATGGCTCATATGAAAACCCTGGTTGTAATGAAAATTCTGGCTCATATCAAAACCCTGGCTTGCATAAAAACCCTGGCTCTCAACAAAACCCTGGCTTATCCCTGCTATATCACACTAGGACTGATAATATTGAACCTCAAAATAGAAGTAGAAATAGATTTAGTACTAACCTAGTAAATAATACTCATAATATTAAGAAACAATTATTTGAACCTATAGAACGTAGAGTTAATTATAATGTCAATTATACCCCTGCTTATGCTTCACCCACACAAAACCCATCTGTCCAGCTTGCTAATAATAATAACTTGTTTTTTGGTTTTGGAAAAATAGTAAAAATACTGCCAAAGTTTGACGGGAAGGCTGTTCACCCAGTTGACTTCATTGGGCAGCTTGAAATGGCCATGTGCAGTTGCGGCGTGCCTCTCAACTATTTAAACTTTTATAAAGATTCACTTTTCGCTGGCGAAGCAAAATCATGGGTGGAGGTGACCTTGGACATTTTCCTTGAGTTCCAAGATTTTAAACAGGCGTTCACGGAACATTTCTGGAGTCCTATCCAACAACTTGAAGCAAGAAAGGAGGTAGAGATGGGTAAGTACAACAATAGGGGTTCATTTGTACAATATTTTTTAAATATTGTGGCCAAAGCCAAATACTTATCCCCTCCTTACCCAGAACCTTTAATAGTCAGTGTCACTGCAAGACATTTTCCAACATCTGTGGCTGCTTCGCTTATAGGAGCTCAAACTCTTAACGATGCTCTAGCTAGACTAAAGCAAGCAGATTACATAATGAAAAATAATAATCTCCAACCGCAGTACACCAGTTTTATTAAAAATCATCAGTCTAACCAATTCCAGCCCAATCACAATAAAAACCCTAATAACTACCAGCCCCAATCACAACAAAGAAAGATTTCCCAATTAAATTTTCCTGAAACCCCGGAGTACATCAGTGACCTTGCTGATAGCAAAGAATCTTGTGAGCCTTTTGACCCCCCTCAGGAAAACTTCTAAGTGGCCACTCTACCAGCCCAGGAGTGGACACCATTACTAGGGCTAACCCAACCTATGCGGGTAACAACCCCTCAGAGGACCTCTTTGAGGATGATAATTATATTCCCGTTGCAAATTATAATAAATCCCCGGTCGTGCAAATAAAAATAAAAAACTTCTATTTTCCTGCTCTAGTAGATTCGGGCTCTGAGGTTTGCTGTATGGCAGACCACATTCTGGCACAAATAACTCCCTTGCTGGAAAACACTCCTGTCCTCCCAGTACACGGTATCAAAGTTGTGGGCGCGTTTAAAACAAAACAAAAACGAGTCACTCATCAACTTCTTTTACCTTTCTCGCTAGAAGATTTTGCAGCAGAATTCGAGTTTTTGGCAATACCGGAGTTAATTTTCCCAATTATTCTTGGCGCTGATTTCTTAAGACATTTTGGTTGCTCAATCGATCTAAAAAACAATTTACTCAGTTTGAAATTTAATAATAAAGTTTTTAATGTCCCAGAAATGTATCCGAGTCAATCATTAGAAGTTCCGGCTACATGTTCCATTAAAATATGCGCGGTTAACGCCTCGTACCCCGATTATGACTATTTTTTAGAAAAACCCTCGGAATTCGCAGATATTGTAAAAAATTTAAACCTAGGCCCTACCGAGAACCGAGACTTCCAGAAGGTCCTTGTCAAACACAAAGATGTTTTTTCAGACAAACCGGGACTCACTTCGGAATACGTGTTCGAAATTAATTTGACGGATTCAACTCCTTTTGCGGTTAAGCAGTATCCAATCCCCATCGCGCACCGTGCCGCCGTTAGCAAAGAAATCGCGAAAATGGAGGAGTGGGGGATAATCGAAAAATCAAACACGCCATTCTGTAGCCCGTTGATGACAGTAGTAAAGCGCGATGGTACCGTTAGACTTTGTATAGACGCGAGGCGACTTAACAAGGTCATCGAGGCCGACAATGAGCTACCTCGGCAAATAGACGAGTTAATGAAAGACTTGCACGGCGTGCAGTTCATGTCATCTTTGGACCTAACATCGTCGTATTGGCAAGTACCAATCAAAAGCGAACATCGAAAATACACGGGTTTTCGCCACGGTACGCAGGCTTACCAATTTAAAGTATTACCATTCGGTCTAAAGACCGCAGTGTCGGGTTTCACTAGATGCATGCGCAAGGTTTTAGGCGCATATGTCGACAATTTTGTGCACGTCTATGTAGACGACCTACTAATTATATCGAAAACCTTCTCGGAACATCTATGGCACTTGGATCTCGTTTTAACACGTTTAAATGAAGCAAATTTTACGATCCGATTATCCAAGTGTGGATTTTTTAAAGAAAAAATGCATTTTTTGGGGTACGTATTAAGTGCTGACGGATTAAAACCGGACCCAAGGCGCACCGAATCACTTAAATTATTTACCGCCCCGCGTAATATTAAATCGCTTCAGGCTTTTTTAGGCCTGGCAAACTTTGACCGAGGCTTCGTTGACCATTTTGCCTCAGCGACTGAACCCCTTACTAGGCTTTTACGAAAAAATGTTAAATGGTCCTGGGGGGAGACGGAACAAACCGCGTTTGAGAAGCTTAAATCCCTGCTGTGCGAAGAGGTGTTACTTCACCATCCGGACCACAGCAAAACTTATTACGTGTCGTGCGATAGCATTGACGTGGGGGTAGGCGCTGTCCTCTACCAAGATATCGAGGGTAAACGGCGGGTGATTAGTTATGCGAGCCGGTTATTACTTCCACGAGAAAAAAGGTATTCCGTTCCGGAAAAAGAGTTATTAGCCATCGTGTTCGCCCTTAAAAAATGGCGGGTCTACTTAGTGGGGCGGCTTTTTGTCATCTTAACAGACCATAGATCACTGTCGTACTTAAATACGTGCCGATTACTATCACCGCGGATAACACGATGGATCTTGGCTCTCCAAGAGTATAATTTTGAGATAAAGTATATACCGGGATCTCAAAATATTGTAGCTGACGTGCTTTCGCGCAACCCGCCAGAGCGATTGCCAACCCCACAAGACGGGTGTTTTAAAGTCCTGCGCATTCAAAACCAAAACTTTAATCTTCTTTTAGAGCAGATCAAACTAAAACAACCTGGTGACCCCAAGTTAGGTGCAGTCATCTCGCAGCTCCCCAATGCGCGTTACCTTCTTCATGCAGGCCTGCTTTATTTAAGAAAAGACGATGATTCGCCGTACTTACTTTGTATTCCAGCCGACTTAATCAATGACGTTATTAAATACTATCACCATGAATTTGGCCATTTTGGCGTTTACAAAACCTGGTGTGCAATGCGTCGAGACGTTTGGTTTCCTCGCATGCACACACGCATCAAAAGTATCCTTAAGTCTTGTGATATTTGCCAAAAGGCTAAAGTTTCGCTGTTACCAAAAACCGAACTAGAACATATCATACCAGCTGGGCCCAAGGACCTAGTCGCTGTCGATTACTACGGGCCCCTTCCACGATCTACGGGTGGTGTTGCGTATATTTTTGTAGTTCTCGATGTGTTTTCCAAATATGTCACCCTCTATCCACTGAAACGCGCCACCACAGAAGCCTGGCTTAATCGATTACAGAAGCACTACTTTCTCAATGTGGGTCGCCCCGCGCGGATCCTGAGCGACCAAGGAACACAATTTACTTCAAATAAATGGAGATCATCTTTGCAGAAGGCGGGGGTGACCGTTTGTTTTTGCTCAGTCCGACATCCTAGAGCAAATCCGTCGGAACGAATCATACGGGAACTGGGCAGGCTGTTTCGCTCGTATTGCTCTACTCGACATACCAGTTGGTTTGCCGAGATACCTAGATTTAGTCATTTCCTGAACAACATAACTCACGTTACCACGGGGTTTACTCCCATGGAGCTTCATTTCGGAAGCCCTCCGTATTCACCTCTAAAGGACATCAAGCCAAATCCCCCATCTGTCGATAGCCATGTCAAACTTTTCCTTGCGTCTGAAAATCTTAAGTCCAGACTGACGAGAAAGGGTAACCTCTTGTCGCGCCCACCTCCTGTGTTTAATCCTAACGATTTGGTCCTACTTAAAGCAAGTCCTATTTCCTCCTCCTTAATTCAACAAACCAAAAAATTAATGCCTTTATTCGAAGGGCCGTTCCTCGTAAAAAAACGTGTCGCCACTAATTCGTACGTTTTAACCTACCCAGAAAATGGCCAAGAGCGTGGAACATTCCACGTAACACATTTGAAACCCTATTTTCGTTGTGCTAACCCAGATAGTGATCTCCCAACGATGGGGGCAGATAAAGAGAAATAATAAAACCAATTAACCTTTAAGATAAATAATTTAAAATTTACCGCGATACGCGCAAGGCATCTCGACCTACGGCGACCTTGCGCGGAACAAGTACGCCACTTGGTTGGTTTCGCCGGTGAAGCGTTTGCCGGTTGTTGTCTATTCTAAGGTATTAAACAAAACGCTTTCTGTTGAGGCTTTGCCGTAACTGCAGGTGAGTTGCAATGTATTAATTAATTGATATAGTCTGGCTACCCAGTATTTTCATTGTTGATATTTATTTGTTGAATTGGCCACGTGTGGGTGCTAACCTCAATTATTTTTGTAGTTTTTGTAAAGAAAAATCTTCTTATTCAATAAATCGTGCTTTGGAAAACCGATCGACTGTTATTTCACCACAACCTAAATATCCCATCTTTAGATATCACACAGTTTATCATGGCACCCCCAACAACAGCAGGTGCGGATGCTAAAATTAAAAAAAAGATAAATGAGTTAGCTCAGGGCATACGAAAAAAACATTTGGCTCTTAAATTGGGAAAAGCTGAAAATGATGCTACATTACATTTGCTTAACTATGGTTTCGCGTAAAAATCGAACAAATTTTGGACATTTGTTTGCAAGTCATCAATGTCAGAATTGAATATATTTTTTTACCTTGTTTCTACATCTAAATGGTGCATTTTTTTCAAAAAAAAATTTCATCCATTGACCGCTTTGGTTAACAGGGCTTAAGTTACTCTTCTGTGTTAAAAATAGATAAATTTCGATATTTTGTAATAACATTTTTATTTAAAAACGTATCGATTTGAAATTAAGATAAAATGTAGACCTAATTAATGACAATAAATCCACGTATTATTTTTCTTACATTTTAACATACAGGGGGCGCTGGGGACAATTTAATTTAAAATTTTACCATATTTTAAGGGTTAAAAAATCGAAGAAGCAACGTTGTTTTACAATTTTGAGTATATCACGGTATCAAGTACTGATAATTAAATATTATTTGATATATAAACTTCTATATGCAAATTATGTTTCTACGAGAGACATAATTTTTAAGTTAGGCCTTCAAAGAGAATAATACTAACGTGTTTTACAAAGTATATTTTGTTTTATCTATTTTTATAAGATAATGGGCCCATTGATGTAACTTAACATGTCTGTTAAAACAGTAATTTTTGCTTAATATGTTAGTGGTGGTAACACGGTTTGGAAGAAAGTTTTGAGTCAGGGTCGTATCTCTGTTATATCCTTTTTCTATGGTTATACCTCCACAGAATGAGATATAAGGCCTTTCATAAAGAAATAATATTATTATTTAATATTTTTTATTTTCTTTACTTTATATTATCGTTTATTTTTATTTATTTTGTCTATATAATATAAATGGTATTATTTTTATGTTGGCAACGTTGACATAACCTATAATTATAAATCATAAATAAAAATATTTCTGATCATAATTAAGCACAAGTTGTATTTATGTAACAAAAATCAGGTAATACGACGCATTTTACAATTAAGTACATAGTTTTTTTACACATTTTTATTTAATTTTAGCCTTCAAGTTACTTGAATCAAGTTGGGCCATCAAAACACAAGTTTATTATGGTTAAAAATTTCTGGTGCTTAATTTTATGCGGGGTTTTAAGTGCAATATTTATAAGTGTCTTTATAGTGTGAAACTGAATAATTGTGTTGTGTTTGAAGAAAGTTTCTTCAAGAAACCATCAAAACTTTTAACAGAGAAATTCAAAATGCCTGATACAAATATAACCATTGATTAATCTTCACTCAACAATATAACAATGTCATAGAAAAACCCTTTATGAACAATGTATAATCAAAATGCCTGATTACAAACACAGCATATAACCATTGATTAATCTTCACTCAACGATATAACAATGTCATAGAAAAACCTTTATGAACAATGTATAACAAATTTTATTTACGATTTTTTTGCCTTATTATGTTGCTTTATTATTTATAACCTAAGTGGTTTTGAACAATAACTTTGTAAAACATGTTTTTCTTATAATAATCATTTACGAACTCCTTTAGTTTAGGGTTGTCAGACTTTATATATATTTAACAAAAATCTTCCATGTTTGTAAAGTATAAAAGCAAAATCTTCTTTATTTCAGAATATATATATATATATATATATATATATATATATATATATATATATATATATATATATATATAAATATTGCATGTCTAGGTTATATTGTATATGTTTAGTTGGATTTAATATAGTGTTAAATTGATAGGTACTATTTTATTCTTTCATTTTAATTTAACAAAATATATTTATATCTAAATTACACCTTATGCAATGATTGTAATAAATGATTTCTATATATTTTTTAAAGTTCTATATTTTCAAGTTAGGTGATTCTTCGAATCAGCATTTTGATTTCTGGCAACCCCTAAATATTAATTAAAATGTAATCAAACAAATTTAACAATAAAAGACTTGACAGAATATACGATTTTTATTTTGTTTTAAAATATATAGAGTAGACTGTGAACTTAATTGTCAAATAGGTAAATTTAGTTTGTCAAAATAAATCGTTCAGGACAGGACAACTAAAAAACAATTCGAAGAACTTTTACATTTTGCTCAGGAAAACAAACATATTCTTAATGTCAAATTGAAGCCCACTGAAGTCATTACGTTAAATTCCTTGTGGAATGACTTTGCCACAAGAATAAACAAAAAAAATATTGGCCCGGCAAAGACGTCGAGCCAATGGAAGCAAGTAAGTTATAATTAAATACATAATTTTAAAATTTTAGTAAATGTAAAAGTAATTACGAATTTATAAATTGTATACATGTTTATGTTTAAGGTTTTCACTGAATGGAAGGCAAATGTGCGGCGCAAGGCTAGGGTGGTGGAGCAAAGTAGGATCCAAACTGGAGGAGGGCCAGCAAACTCAACAGGATTGAATCCCATTGAGGAGCAATTGCTGGCCCTCACTTCCAAAATATATTTTGGAGATTGCGATATTGAAGAGGCTGGTGTCTCAGCCTCCGCCCCAGCCGCAGCATCACCTCCAGGTTAGATTGCTATGGTACACATTAAACAAATTTATAGGAGTTGCAGAAACGTTTTTAATATTTAATGTAATTGCTGCAGCAACAGCAGATAAGACCTGAAAATGGTATGTATACATTAGGGTGTCCCTTATTTTTATTTTTTTTACGCATACCCTCTAATTATATTTATTACGTGTTTATATAATTCCAGTAAAAATTTCAGCTCATTCTATAAACGGAAACAGGAATACACCCAATTACAGGAAATGTTATTAACAGTACAGTAAAATAAACAATGAACAACATTTCAGATAAATTAAAATCTGCCAAAAAAACATTCAATAATATATGATAGGGGACTATTGTGAATATCACATATATCACTTATGCTATTAAACAAAGTACATATTCTAAATATAGGTGAGCATTGCATTACATTAGTTCTTGGTGCTAGAAGATAAAAAGTATCAGAGTTTCTTGAGTTAAATCTTGGCACTAAGAATTTTAAAGAACTTAATAAAAATGGACAGTCTATTTTATTGTTACATAGATTATAAATAAAATTTAACGCAATTCTATTTCTGCGATCCTGCAAAGAATCCAGAGAGAATCTATTTAATAAGTAATTATTGTCTATGCCTCTTTCAGGGTAAATTCGATCCTCCTTATAAGCGAGATACTTTCTCTGGACAGCCTCGATACGCTGGACATGACATGCATAAAAAGGAAACCAAATTAAAACACCATACTCGAGCCTAGACCTAATTAGGCAGTTAAACAAAAGCTTCAAAGCATCAATATTATTAAAATCTTTACAATTTCGAACTATAAATCCTAAGGTTTTAGACGTTTGAACAACTATGTTATTTATATGGTTGTTAAAAGATAGTTCATTATCAAAGGTTATGCCCAGGTCTTTTTCTTTAGTCTTTCGCTCAAGTAAAGTGTCATTAATGGAATAATTAAACTGAATAAAGTTTTTTTTCTTAGTATATGTTACTACTAAACATTTTGATAAATTTAACATAAGTTTAGATTGGATGCACCAGGAATAAATCAAATCAAGGGTTTTTTGTATCGTTAAACAATCATTCGAATCGTATACTGTTCGATATATTTTAAGATCATCCGCGAAAAGCAACTTATTATCGGGCAGGGTAAATATAAGGTCGTTAATAAAGAGGAGAAATAATAATGGGCCAAGATTGGACCCCTGAGGAACACCGGACGATACTAAATAACAGTCTGATTCAAAACCTTCATACTCGACAAACTGATATCTACCCTGAAGGTAGGATCTAAATAAGTTGAGAAGATTATTGGAAAAGCCGACATTATTTAATTTTTGAAGTAGGACTCCATGATCGATTTGATCGAATGCCTTTTGAAAATCAAGATATATGACATCTACCTGACCTCGAGAATCCAGAGCAGTACTAACATACTGAGTAAGGCAAGCCAAGTTAGTTATACAAGATTTTTTGGACATGAAGCCATGTTGCTCGTCTGCTATCAAACATTTTGTGGCGGCATATACATGATTATATATAATAATCTCAAACAATTTAGAAAAGTTGCATAATATGGAAATAGCTCTGTAATTTTGAATAATACCTGGGTCACCTTTTTTTAAAACTGGGCATACTCTCGCAACCTTCCATAGTTCAGGAAAAGATCCAGTTGACAAGCAGAGATTAAAGATATGTTTAAGTGGACCAACTAGAGCTCCAATGCAATCTTTAACTAAAAAACTAGGTAAACCATCCTTACCCGATGTAAACTTATTATTTAATTTTTTAACCGCTTTAAAAATATCACGATCACTAATTGTATGTACTTGAATAGATAAACCATTGAGCCTAGAGTTATTATAATTTAAAGAGTATTGTGAATCTATATAAACGCTACGAAAATATTCGGCAAAAGCATTAACTATACTCAAAGGATTGTCATGGATTGTCAAATTCGTTTCATCTTTTAATAATCCAGGAATTCGTGAGCGATTCTTTTTCATATTAACAAAATTCCAAAACTGTGATGGATCATTTGATAAGTTAATCTCAGCTTGAGTTATGAAGTCATTGTATGCCGTATGTATTTGATGCTTAAGTGCGGATCTAAGGGAGCAAAATTGCCGATAGTAGAACTCAGAGTTAGACTGTTTCCATTTCTTATGAGCTAAATCTTTTTTCCTTAACAATTTTATAATTTCCTTTCCAAACCAAGGAGGGTAGAATGTTCCTTTTTTACGACAAAGAGGTACGTTTTCACTAATGGTCACAGACATTTTAGAGTACATCAGGCTACAAGCAGACTCGACATCAGAACAAGAAATAATGTCACTCCAATCAATATTTAAAATTTCGTTGTATAAATGAGGAAAGTTTGCCCTTTTAAAGTTAAATTTATCACGAGTAGTATTCTGCCCAAAATTTATAACATAATCTCTTTTACCCTGAAAGCCTATAGTTAGGGCAGGATGATAAGCATCCTCAGGTACAAACGGTAACGTTTCTTTACTAGTATCACAGATGAAGAATTAATTAGCATATGCTTACTTATATAATATACAAACGATACAGGGTGTCCGGGAAAAGGAGCTCAATCCGTTAACCATATATTCCTTGAGTTAAAACAATAAGACTTTCATAATACCATTTTTCAATTTAGGCCTTCATGTTTGATATACAGGGCGACAAAGTTTGAAATTAAAAACTGATTTTTTTTTAATAATTCGAGTAATTGATAAGATACTAAGTTTAAATTCGGTACACTACTTCAACATAAATAGTTACATTTTTTGAGACCAACAAAACAAAAAACAATTGTCAAATAATCAAAATAGGGGGGTCCAGTACTCACTGACTCCCTCTATTTTTTAGTACGTGCGCCAATGACTTCCAAACGGAATTTTTTCAGGTAATCATTTATTGTTGAAAATGTTTTGTCTCTTATAAAATTTTGATAAAATGATTTGTTTTAGAGATAATTTGTAAAGTATGGGTCAGTCCATATCAAATTTTCAAAATTTAATTTATTTTTTGAAAAAATGTAGGTCATGTGATATATCATAAAAAAGTTCTCTAATAGGCCTTTAAAATAAGCCATCACTCACCTTTCTATCTTTAATAGTTTACGAGATATCGCTATTTTTGTAAGTACTTGCAAGACCCAAATTTATCGAAATTTTTTGATTTTCAAAAATCAATAAAACAAAAACCACCTATCGAAAAAAATTCATATATGGAATTTTTAAGTTTTTTAGTGAGGTAAACAAATTTACCAAAAATGATCAAAATCGGAGATGGTGGGGGAAGAACCTTTGGTTGATTTGATATGGACTGACCCATACTTAACAAATTATCTCTAAAACAAATCATTTTATCAAAATTTTATAAGAGACAAAATTTTTTTAACAATAAATGATTACCTGAAAAAATACCGTTTGGAAGTCATTGGCGCACGTACTAAAAAATAGGGGGAGTCAGTGAGTACTGGACCCCCCATTTTGATTATTTGACAATTGTTTTTTGTTTTGTTGGTCTCAAAAAATGTAACTATTTATGTTGAAGTAGTGTACCGAATTTAAACTTAGTATCTTATCAATTACTCGAATTATTAAAAAAAATCAGTTTTAAATTTCAAACTTTGTCGCCCTGTATATCGAACATGAAGCTCTAAATTGAAAAATGGTATTATGAAAGTCTTATTGTTTTAACTCAAGGAATATATGGTTAACGGATTGACCTCCTTTTCCCGGACACCCTGTATAGGTATGCACATATATATATGCATATATACAGGGTTCCCCATAATAGGCTACCCATTTTAAAATTTGAATTAAAAATTTTTTAGTTAACAAAACAAACTTTTTATTATACTAAATTACAGCTAATTCTTTGGGATTTATGATAACTTATAAATATTTGGCTAATTTAATTAACTTTTAAAAATCACGTCTTCTAAATGACCTCCACCAACTTCAACACATTTTTCAATATTAGATAAAAAGTGGTAAAGTCGTAAACGCAATTCTAACTCGTTCAATATTTTCTGGTGTACGAGCCAGGCTTTTTCAAATTTTGTACAGAATCATTTTCACGCCAATGACGAACCCATAACTTAACAGTTTTACGATTTGGCGCGTGACCCCTATTGTTGTTATTAAACTGACGCCGGAATGCACGCCTAACTTAAGTTAGAATTCTTCTATCGAATTGCTTCTTATGTAAGTTTCTACACAAAACACACGTTGTTGGACTGAGTAATCCATGAAAGTTCAAACGGATGTTGAAATAATGTCTCAAAGCAAAAAAATTAAATAACTTAAATAATTATTGATGAAAACTAACAAACTTCTCGTAAAAAAAATGACGTTCCAGGAAATTATTAATTTAAAACTTATTTGTGACAGGCGCCTACTTGATTAATAATTAACTTAAATCCCAAAGACTATAGAAGATATTCCCATAGAGAACAACTTATTTAGTTATCTCGTAGGGAATTTATTAGTAAAATAAAATGGGTAGTCTATTATGGGGAACCCTGTATATATATATATATATATATATATATATATATATATGTAGGACCACTTGACTTCTGGTCTAAAAACGTCCCCACTTGGCGTCCTGCTTAATACATATAAAAACAAAATACTTTCTTAGCGTCACATAACATCCATACTAAAGTCGCCAAAAATAAGATTACTTATGAGTCATACGTTATGAAATTGCAACGTCGCTTTCAACCAATTGAACTAAAATAAGAAACCATCCTTATTTAAGCATATTTGATACATTACTATAATGAAAGGAACTGCAGCTAGTCTAGGTTTTTGTATCTTCCCCTGACAGGTGGCAAAAGTGGTGCATGAAGCAATTTTGCGAATAAAAAAGAGTATCTTTTTGTTTTGATTTATTATGGACCAAAAAGCCATACTAGAAATATTAAATATTACATAATTAAAACTTAACCTACAATTTATTTCATATAAATAAAACCGGCAGACATGAAAAGATTTTAT